TCCCCTTCGAGAACTGATGCCAAGCCTTCACCAATGCCCGGGCTCACAAGCAGGAAAAAAACGCCCCACTGGCCGACATCCTAGGAACCATGGCTACAGTGTGACGGTGGACGTGCTTATTGTGGGAGCACTTGGAACCTGAGGCCCCAGCAACAAGAGTGTTCTGCATGCCTGCCACGTCTCCCGCCGCTATGCCAAGCTGATGCGGCATCTCATGGTGTCTGACACCATCCACGTTGGTCCAACAACGTTAACGTTGAGCGCATCATGGGCCAGTGCCAGTACACCCACCTCGCCAGACTGACCACCACTGGATCAGACCCAGAGAGGACTGCCTGAACTCCTCCCCTGCACCTGATGGACTGAGAGCTATTCCTCAACCACGGACCACTCCACGCCACCTGGCAAGGAGCCCTGTGATAGGACTCTATGGACTGAGTAACTTCTTTGTTCAACCTACCCCCTCCACCATTGTGGACTTTTTTATGGGTTTGTTTGTATCTATCTTTTTTCTCTCTCAGCATCACAACCCCCTCCCTCCCCTATCCCTGGGCTTAGATGGCTAACGTTGTAGTTATGTGACCTAGCTGAGTTCCCCTCCTCACCCCCATCCCTCTTAGGTTAGTCCCTTACTCGGGCATGCTGTATTTCCCTTATGGCTTTGTCAGTTTTGTTTCATGACTCTTGACATTTTCAAATAAAATTAAACCTGTTCCCGGCTTTATTTGGCTAAGGTGAGGAAATCTGTTGTGGGCATCAGGCAAACAGACGGACAAAAAAAATGAAGGATACAAACTTCAGTCGGAAAAACTGCATGGTGGAGGTGGTGCAGCACACAGCTACGATACAGAGCTAACAGTTTGTGCTGGAGAATAGGCGGACCAGGGCCTCAGCTAGTCTAAACTGACACAGAGACTTTGCATTAGGATCTGGCCTTGTGTATGTAGGTATCTAGAGGCAGCCATAAGAAATAGCCGCACGAGTAGGGCCAGGGTCTTGACCCTGGCTCAGAAAAGGGCAGGTAAGGGCCATGCATTTGAAAAACCTGTTTTCTATTTGTTTTTTAAAAAGACAATTTGAATTTCTCTGTCCGGTCTTGTGGAGCCATCTCAGAGGACCCCGCAGTCTCACTACCCCTCTTAAAGAGGCAAATGTGAAAAGGGAAATAAAAGGATTGCCTAATTCCTCACTGTAATGCAGTCTCCACTGAGGGTGCAATGCAGCTGTTGTTGAGCAGCCCAGAGAGAAAACTGTATGACAGTTTTAGGACAGTGAGTACAGCAGACTACAATACCCATTTGACAACAACATGGAGTTAGGCAGAAGAATATCACAAGTCAGGACTGAAGTTGGCCAGGGCACTTGAGTTAAATGCGCCTCCTCTTGCAAAAAGCTGCCATCTCCAAATAGCTTTAATTACTTTTAAAAATGATTATTCTCATTTTGTAGGTGGGACCTGCAGCAGTAAAGCTCCAGCTAGCAACATGCTCAGGGGGGTGAGTGACACTAAGGAGACTGGCGGAATATGAAAACCTAAATTGCCATTTCTGCTTCCTGCAGTACCTCTGTATTCCTTAGAGATCTCTTATCCAAGTACTGGACTGACTCTTTTTAGACAGATTTGACAGGACACTAAGATGAAGAATCTCATTGTAAACAGTAAGTGAAGCAAGTAAAGTACACTCAGCAACGGTACAAACAAACCCGTAAATGATACATACCAGGGCTTAGCAGCAAGAGTAAAAGGCTATACTGTTGTGTGTCCAGGCTGTGCTGATCTTTACCTTTATATTAATATTATTTAAGGTTTAGACCAAGGTTGCCTGATTTGGAAAAATATATCCAAGTAAAATATAGTACACTGGAATGATTGTGATAAACTCTCAAGAGCAATACATCATCACAGAACTAAGTGACAAGTTGTATTTACCCAAGAGGACCAAGAAAATCAGAATGCATGCAGCAAAAGGGTAAAAAAACAACCCATAAAATATCTAAGTTTCTCATGTGTAAATCAAATACACTGCAGTGTCAATATGTGGAAAGGAAAAGAACTGCCGTTTGTAACAGTAGTGATAGTTTTGGTACTGACAGTTAAGGTAATGTTAAGAATGAAAGTCTAGGGGGACTCTGAGTATTGTTTAATGATCTGAGAGTACTTGAAAGCCAATGTTTCTGGGTTTGGGGATGTTTTATTTGGGGAATCTGACTTGTAGGCAAGGGATATCACTGCCTCTTCTATGATACTTAGGGCCTCTTCCAAAATATTTAGGGCTAACCTTCAAAACTATTTTAATTCTGGATGACTGACCTGAAAATGACTTTTTAGAGTGCTGAACAACATCAGTATTTCAAGTTGGGCACCCAAAGTTGGTGGATGTATTTGGGAAAATTTCAGCTCCTTTTACTATCATGTTTGACCATTTGCAAAGTGTCTGCAAACTCATCTGTCTTCCTGGGAATCTTTAATTGAGGGATGTTTGCATTTCTCATCCCCCAGTCTCAAAGCACTTTTAGAACAGTGCAAACCCTAATATCTGCCAGGTTCCTTCATATCACAGTATCCCCACCAGAATTAGTATGCCATGAATCAAAAGGGTCACTTAAGAAAAATAATGCATTCGGTAGTCAGATGATTCAATATAGAACGAACATCACTTAGAAACAAAATGCTGTAAATGATTCGTAGGGCTATGGAACAAAACAAGATCAGAGCGGCCTTAGGAAAATGAAATTCGAGTTACAAAAATAAAGGATAGCCTCTAACGGTGAGAGCTTGAAAGATACGGCTTGCAACCATATTCTCCTTCAAACCTGCACTCCAACTCTTTTTATTAGCATTGGGACATTATGCTACATTCACGACCTAAACAACCTGTCCTCAATTGCTGCGCTCAATTTGGTTAAGTTTCTATTTGCTATGTCTATTGTGTCTCCCGGGGCTTCAGTGGAGTTTCCAGCTAGGACCTGTTGGAATTGAAAAAATAACTTGAGCTAAACTTAGCGCTGTGCATCAGCAGAACCCATTGGGCTCTGAGAAACAACTAACTGGTATAGCACTTCAATTCTGTACAACCCATGTTGTGTGAAAAGTTAAAGCCAGTGGGAACCAACAAATCCTTTTATGGGAACAGCTATCCAAATCTGTTAAAACCATCTGTTTCTCTGACTGTTTTCTTTCACAGCAATAAGGGGAAAAAAAAAACATATTTTACAGTGAGAGGCTTTGGACCCAAGTCCAGTGTCACTGTAATAAGTAGGTCTGAGATAATTCTACTGAATACCATGGAATCACTCTAGGTGTGCAGAGGTGTATACTGCAACAGAATTAGGCCTCCCAATACCTCCAATGAGATGGTCTTAAAAAATGTCTGCAGAAGAGTTATGTTCATTTTGTGTGATGGGGCGGCAATGGCAGCACATGATGCAACTGTGTAAAGAAACCAAAAAAGGGTTTTAAAAATCTGCTTAGCAGATTTCGTACTTCTTTTGTTTTTGTGTTGTCCCCCCTCATTTAAAATAAATTTAATGGGAAATCTTGGAGAAATCAAAACAACTTAACACTTCTTCAAACATCACCTTTGCTGTCAAATGCAGCATAGGGAGACTACCCCTAATGCTCAAAAGACAGTTCCTGTACCCACGTTGACTCGGCCATTGCCAAGACAGCTACTGAGGACACAGACTCTTATGATGTCTTAGACAACGGACATATCTATAAACAAGGAATTGAATTGAGAGCCCATTCATCAATTGAACATAGACTACCAGATCCTCCACTGGATGGAGGTTAACAACAATTCAACTGATACCAGCAATGGGAATATTCAGATAAATGACCTGCAAATTGCCAAGCTCCTTACCTGAGATTTTCAGACATTCAACAGATTTTTCATAGCTGAATTTAGTGTCGTAGTAAAAGTACTCAAACTACTCTTCTTGACATCATGCAATTCCTCTGAAATCATTGGAGTTATGCTATTATAAATGAGTCTGAAATGAGGCCTCCACATTCCATTACGTGATATAATTATGGCTAGAAATCGACTGGGCTAAGATTCAGAGAGACCTCAACAAATTAGAGGACTGGACCAAAAGAAATCTCACAAGGTTCAATAAGGAGAAGTGCAAAATCCTGTAGTTTGGACAGAACAATCCCATGCACCAGAACAGTCTGGGGACTGATGGGCTAAGCAGCACCTCCTCAGAAAAGGACCTGGGGGTTACAGTGGACAGTTAGCTAAATATGAGCCATCAGTGTGCCCTTGTTGTCAAGAAGGCTAACAGCATCCTGGGCAGCACTAGTAGGAGCATTGCCAGCAGATCAAGGGAAGTGATTATTCCCCTCTATTCACCACTGGTGAGGTCACATTGGAAGTACTGTATCCAGTGTTGGGCCCCCCACTGCAGAAAGGACGCGAACAAATTGGAGAGAGTACAGCGGAGGGCAACAAAAATGGCTAGGGGGTTGGGGCACATGACTTTGGAAGAGAGGGTGAGGGAACTGGGCTTACTTAGTCTAGAGAAGAGGAGAGCAGCACTGACCCCAGCACTCTTCCCTGCCTATGCAGGGGGTTGGACTCGATGATCTATTGAGGTCCCTTCCGACCCTAACATCTATGAATCTATCAGATTGAGAGGGGTTTTAATAGCAGCTTTCAACTACCTGAAGGGGGGTTCAAAACAGGCTAGAGCTGGACTGTTCACAGCAGCGGCAGATGACAAAACAAGGAGCAACGGGCTCAAGTTGCAGCAAAAGGGAAGTTTAGGTTGGGTATTAGGAAAAACTTTCTTACTAGGAGGGTAGTAAAACACTGGAACACCAAAGAGGTTGTGAAATCTCTCCATCCTTGGAGGTTTTTAAGGCCTGGGATGATCTAGTTGGGGATCATCCTGCTTTAAGCAAGGGGTTGGACTAGATGTGACCTCTTGAGGTCCTTTCCAACCCTAATTTTCTATGATACTCCAGCTCTAAGAAAGAGCTGCCATGTGGTTCTTACCTGGATTCCCCTTGACCAATGGTAAGATAAATTTCCCATGAACTCTCTTCAGGGATAGCACCATGTGGTATCAGCAAACTGACCCCTAAGATGGAATAAATATAGTGGTTATTGTTGTATTTTCCAAACGGAAGGATTATGGAATATTTGGACTTCAAGTAAAACTTGAAAAATTGCCTCTGAATGACAGCCTTTGGAAACTCTCTCTAGCATTCTAGCAGAAAGTTCCTATTAAAATGGGAATAAAATGCGGGGCCTTAAATTAATCAGATTAAGAATACCCATTTTATTTAAATGTTTTACTTATTTATTTGTACTGCATATTGTCAGATTAAGATCTAACTGTGATGGTTGCCTCGGCCCATTTTCTAAAGGATACGTCGAACAACTACTTTTACAGCCGTCAGACTCTAACAGCTTTCAGTTGATACCGGTCTAGGTCAGACTGTAACCCCAGCTGTGGATAGGCAAAAAAAACTCTGCATCCCATTAACAATCCTCGGAGACATCTTATCCCCTAGGGAAGATAATTCTGTCATTGGTATCAGGTCTTAAAAACAATTTTGTGTGTGGTCAGAGAGGATAAAACTGCTAAACTTCAAAAGTATGAATGCAAATGTAAAATCTCACTAGTCCTTTCCTAGGTGTAGTACACAGCAGAGTTAAGGAGGCTCAGCCCAGCCCTACAGTTCATGAGGAGTGCCAGATCTCTCTCTCTTCTGTAGCAATTGCTTTGAAGTAAATCTTTTACATCAGCTCCCAGATAACAGCCCACCGAGCACAGTTCTTCTCTTTAATGTATCTTCTTGTTTATGATAAGAAATGAACTGGGTATGCAGGAGGAAAAAAAATAAAGCCTGTGCAAAAATAAAACCTCAGGGTGTCTTCCTCCCCCTCAAATAATGTCTCACCCTCTCTTTCATCAGAAGAATCAATGCTGGAGTACAAAAGCATTCAATTTGATTATTATAATTTCAACTGAGAGAAGGCATCCTTTTAATTCCATTACGGAGGCAGCCTGAACTGCACTCTTGTCAGCAAGAGCCGCTGTACAGTTGTGCAGTCCAAGACTCATTACAAAACAAGTTATTTTTGCTTTAAATTGATGAACTTTATTCAGTAAGATTCTGGTTATCGTTAGTTTCTTGCACTTGTGCTAAGAGTGAGGCACACTAAGAAATTCTTCTCTGTACCTGCTGACAAAGAGATTTGTTATTTACTATGACCTTAATATGAATGTTAGGGGCACAGACACCATTACATCAGTTAGGTATCTTGTTTGTGATTATCAGTCACCTATCTACTGCTCTCGCTTTATTGCTGTAGACAAACACTTTTGATATTTATGGCTGACTTCAGTGCAACCATTTTCCTTGCAGGCAGAAAGGATAGGTTCATACTGTAGTGGTGTCGATAAAACCCAAGATGGTTAAACAGGTGGATTTTTCCCATGCACAAAGTGCACTTAGGCAACTAATTTGCAGTGAAAGGCAATGTTACTAGGTACCACCTGTGCCTTTGCAATGTCCTTCTAAGTAGTCACCTGGCTTGCATACTGATTAGAAAAACACAGCAGTTTAGTCATCCCATATTCACATCTTACTACAGTTATAAACCTTGGACATTTAAAACATCTCCTTCTTTGCAGGATGAACTCTACTGGATAACAGGAAGCTTTGGTAAAAAAAGAGAACACCCATTTCATGTAGGACAGGAGGAATAAGGACCAGAACTGCATTGCTCTGTGTGCCCCCAACAACAGCACTTAGGCAATGCGTGTTTCAATTCAACCATCACTCATACATCAAGCTCAGAGGTTACAGAGCTCAGAGACATCCCAAAACTATCTTAGCTTCACCTCAATCAATGA